ATACCCATTGCAAACCCGAATACAAGTACACATACATATTGCAGATTCGAATACAAGTACACATACCCATTGCAGACCTGAATACAAGTATACATACCCACTGCAGACCTGAATACAAGTATACATACCCATTGAAGACCTGAATACAAGTACACATACCTATTGCAGACCCGAATACAAGTACACATACATATTGCAGATTCGAATACAAGTACACATACCCATTGCAGACCTGAATACAAGTATACATACCCATTGAAGACCTGAATACAAGTATAAATACCCATTACAGACCTGAATACAAGTATACATACCCATTGAAGACCTGAATACAAGTATATATACCTATTGCAGACCTGAATACAAGTATACATACCCATTGCAGACCCGAATACAGGTACTGTCATGCATTGCATACCAGAATACAAGTACACATATCCATCGCAGACCTGAATACAAGTACACATACATATTGCAGATTCGAATACAAGTACACATACCCATTGCAGACCTGAATACAAGTATACATACCCATTGAAGACCTGAATACAAGTATATATACCCATTGCAGACCTGAATACAAGTATACATACCCATTGAAGACCTGAATACAAGTATATATACCCATTGAAGACCTGAATACAAGTATATATACCCATCGCAGACCTGAATACAAGTATACATACCCATTGCAGACCTGAATACAAGTATATATACCCATTGAAGACCTGAATACAAGTATACATACCCATTGCAGACCTGAATACAGGTACTGAGACATGCATTGCATACTCAATGCAGACCTGAATACAAGTATACATACCCATTGCAGACCTGAATACAAGTATACATACCCATTGCAGACCTGAATACAAGTATACATACCCATTGCAGACCCGAATACAGGTACTGTCATGCATTGCATACCAGAATACAAGTACACATACCCATCGCAGACCTGAATACATACAAGTATAAATACCCATTGCAGACCTGAATACAGGTACTGAGACATGCATTGCATACACGAATACAGGCATACACGAATGTGACAGTTCTCTGGTATACTGAGAAAGATGCTTTACAGTCAAGAAAAGTACTAATTGTTGCTTATCACCAAATGATTTGATCGAAGCTGCCTTTCGAAACAAATTCAAGTTTAGATCATGTGATGGTTTTTTTCGAAATAAAATTGTTTATAGCTTTATCCGGATATTTTCCAGTCGTGACATCATCATGGTAAGCCGTGTCCTCCATTCTCGTACCTCCAATTCTGGGCTTCGCCGTATGTTGACAAGCCCATGAACACATACACACACACAACACACACATTATTTTATCGATGTCCACAACAGAATAAAATTTTCTCGAAATCTTATATTTATAGCAATACATAAAAAAACGCACTGTACATTTCAGAAAAAAAAAACTTGTAGATGAATATATGGTCCTTATGGTCCTCAAAAATCATCGTGCCAATGAAGTCTTATTTGATAAGGTCTCACAACACTAAGTTCAACTGCATCACTCAATGTCACGTGACAACAATATGTTCGGCACCTAACTCTGCTGGGGCTATCATATTTATAGTGCGTTTTTAAATTTACAGACCCCCATTCGTTAGGGTGCAATGTCTTGGACATGCACATATATTAAGTCTCTGAAGCAGTGCCATCAATGCCATGGTCACTGGCATTTCCACTGAAATTTATATTCACATATGCAAATTAACATGTGTTTCCTTTCAAAGCCACATGACATGCGCGATGTTTAAAGCAGGAGTGTCGTCACCTGTGCACGCGCGGGAATTGTGTCCCAAGCGACGATAACAACACGTTAAAACGCAAAGGCTCATGGGTAGACGCTTGTTTGTAAACAGTGACAAGCTATGGCCATCTGACGCATGCGCAGGTGACGACTCCCCGCTTTAATCTCGGCTGCCACGGTGACTGATGACTATGGATCTCTTGATATCATATCGAAGCAGGTAATCTTCTGAAGGTGGGTAGCAGACTGGTCATGTGATAGGCAGTGGTCACATGAACCAAAGCGGGGAAGCATTTTTCTTCCACACACAAATTCAATTCATAAACTCAAGAGCTGGTTGGCATGGATACAACAGTTCATGGTGGAGAAGCTATTCTCTAGAATCGTGAATAATTGTTTATCAACTTCAACATTTATATGTTTTTGTTTTGTTGTTCATAAATAGTCACATAGAGTCCTTAAGTTATTTAAATATATATAATGAAGCAAAATATGCTATGTACATGATAATTAGAAAGAAATAAGGAAAGACAGAAAGAAAGAAAGTGACTCGTTGCTACACAGCGTCCACATTCTCGTTTATGTTGTGTTTGTCCCATTGAACGACGAGCACACTTTTGGGGAGCTCGTTTACGTTTTTCACCTCCATGTTGATAACTTTTGACGGTTTAAGATCTTGGCCGCCCTTAGTCTGTAAATTATTCTCAATGTTAATATGCACATTTTTGAAGTTCCTGTTGTCATAACAACCCCTATGTAGAGCAGTGAACGTGTCTCTCCGTTTCGCCTGCAGTCTTTTAAACCTTTTTTCCTCGTTTCTGAGCATGCGCACGGCCAGCAGGATGAGAAGAATTAGTATGCATCCGCCTGCTATGGGCACGGCGATGACAGCTGCACGGAACCAGACGGCTCGGGACTGTTCCACCAGATCATGTGCCGTATTGCTATCCATTTGTGCGTCTGGAAAATCTACAAAACAGAACAAAAGCAGAAATTACGTATAGAATGTGATTTATATAAAAAAAATACATCTACAGATCAGTTGCTAAGCCATGTGCACTGAGCTGGCAATGTTAACGCTGTTCTTTGAACAAAAAAAAAACGCAAAAGTATTTTCGACAATTGTTCTGGGGTGACAGTGTGCCTGCACGCTATGTAAATATATTACTGACTGGCTAGACGTGGTTTTGGGAATAGGGAGTTTCATTTTTATCTTTCTTTTTGTTTGCGCATGTTGAGAAGTTGACACATAATCGAGTCGCAGTGGCGTAACGAGAACTTCTACGTCAAATGCGACAACTTTGAGAATATTGTAGATAATATTATGTAATAATCCAATAAGATATCATCGAGTGAATTTGAAAACAAGATACGCATTTGCATGTCTAGCCTACAACAAGGATATCTCTACGCCCCTATATCGAGATTGTTATTAAAATTACAGAAAAACTAAAGATACACCAATGCTGATATAAGTCTGCGTGCACGGGCTACAAATTAATAATTTTGGTGATAATAATCAAAACACTGCAGTTTTTCGAAGGGACGTCTAACTGATTGTGTATAGAGCAGAGACAAAGTTGGCGTAGACAAAAGTGATTGGCTCAGGCCCGTATTACGCCACCGAGCTTCGTGATTACACCAACGCCCATTGCATTTCTCATGAATACGGGTCAGCCTCGTGTATTGGGGCCTGACAGATGGCGTGCTCTATTCCTCTAGTATTGCCCGCCCCGCAGGTGAACCAGCAACGACAACAATGTCGATGATATTAAGCGTATGTAATATGAAGCAACCGTACACGCTGAAGCCCCCTACCAGCAGTTTCGTTTTTGTCTTGGCATCTTTTGTGCGGTATCTGAGAAAGAACAACGTAGACGACTCGTCGTCTCACAAAGACGACGGGTTTTTTTAGTGTTGACGTTGAGAGTGTCCTAAATATTTTATTTATCATCTCACCCCCTGCCAACGTAGCATCACCTGCCGGTGTCGCGCCGCTTTTCACACAATTCAGACAGTTGAATGGTCGACGGAGTCTAAATACGGGCACTAGTAACAACGTTCCGCGACTTGAAAGCGAGCACCGTCTCGATTGCTAGTGTTTTTCGTGACCAACATATAACAGTTGTTTGAAAGAAAAAGAAAGCAAACACAAAAGAAAAACTTAGTATACAGGACGTCTGAAGTCCGAGACCCAATACTTGGTTTAGTTACACCGGCTATTTGAAATAAAAAATCAATTTAATAAATTCCCAGTAGAATGCATGATAGTAGTACAAGGGATGATTTAAAGGGGTTTCGATGCCATATTACACACATAGAATTGGCACCGCACGGCTGTCTGGGTGTTAGATGCCAGGGGACTTGCTCACATAATGGACAACGCACAAAATAACAAAACCTGTGAATTTTTAGTTTTAAGGATCTATTTTGATTAGATTTGTCACAAAATGGAATGGCCTTCTGTTCGGCTCGCAGACAGGATTGTGATGAGTTGGCGACGAGCTGCCCCGTGTTCTGACCTTCATCGATTAGTGCAGCGTGTAAAAGAAGAATACGCCGTACACAGCTCCGATGTCATGACTGCAGCCTAGACAGTCAGCGATGTAGAATTATGATTCATTTCTTTATCGCGTCAATCAAGAGCTTCGAGTGGCTCTTATGTCGCGTTCTATGTCGGCAGCGTGTCTGGCAATAAAGTGACGTACACCCAACAACACAATCGCACCATTCCAACTGTTTGCGTATACAAATGTCGAAATTATCACAAATGTTGCCGATCTAATGAAGTTATGTGTATATTTGATTCCTAAACTAAATTTAAAACGCACGAACGTGTATCGCCCATACTTAATAAGGCGACATACGATCGCCTCAAGTCGGTGCGAAAAAATACCAGTGTCGCCTCCAAGCTCGTTTCTTCTGATATTTGAAAGATCTTTTCAAGTGTCAACTATTTTTATGAACGATCATATAATCGATTATTACGAGCGCACATGAAGTATGATGACACGAATGGAATTTACGTAGTTAATTAATTACCCTGGGTAACATCGAAAACTCCCTTCGCTACAAGGATTGAAACGACCAATACTATGACGAAGAATTGTCATATAGGGAATATATTAATGAACTGGCACGAAAAAGACTTTCTGCATTAAACCAAAGACACTAGAAAAAGATATAGTGTCTTTTGATTAAACTCTATAACCTCACTTTTGTATATTTCATGTCACGGCTCAGTTACCCGATGACAGTGGTGGAACCGATTCATGCTATACAACGGGCACGTCATGTTACAAGTCAACAATACTTCCATTTATTTATTTATTTAATAAGTGATAGTTATACAGTCATCTATTTCCAATACCCCGTAACGCAATATAACATCAAATTAATATCACGCGGCTAGACTAGTTACATAGCAACCTTTTATGGGCATTATTATTATTTTTTGTTGGAAAAAAATAATTAGTATCCAGAGATAAAAGGATTTTATATAAAAAAACTATCAAACTATTTTGCGTTATCGCTAAAATGTCACAGTGCTGAATATCATGATGATATTTATCCTTAATTCATTTTTAAGAACATGCTTGCAGAATTTCTAGTATTTCTATTTATATAATACATAGAAACATCTAGAGTTCAAATAGTAAAAAGGAACTGCTACAACTTGTTGTCATAGCAATATAGTGTCAACGAATTACAATAACGCCTGGGGCGGTTGAAATAAGCGGATGATGGCCCACAAGTAAGCTTATTACCACTCTAGAGCGCAGTCGCTGACACGACATAATTCACTTTCAGTTGAGATGCCGTTTGATATGCAGCTTTCAACCATCCTTGTTTTTTTTTAAGTTGCTTTCAACTTCTGTGCGCATTAAGCCTGAGCAAGGATCGAAGGCTTTTAGCCTTCCCGGCGACCATACAGCCGACAACAGACCCTTTCTCCATGAGTCAAACAAGCCAAACATAAGAATAAACGTCTGTGAATTAGCGATATTCGGTCCTACTCATGACTAAGCCAATGGTTTTGACTATAAATGACTTCAAGAACTGGCAACAAGAACACTTGGTTAGTCGACGTGTATGCGAAACCGAATCTAAATATTACAGACATCTAAATTATCTGAATTAATTGAACTAGATCCATATTTGAAACATTTGATTTCCTATTAGCGATTAACAATAAAACAGCGGAAAGTCAATGCATGAAAATTGCCGATTTCGACGCCACGAATCCGCGGTATTCTGAGGCGCAGTCTCAGTAGGGACATCGAGGGTGTCTAATTCAATCTTTTCACGGTGAACCGTAATGATCCCGACTCAGCGCCGCATGTTGATTGGGCATGGCGGCGCGTTCTCTGAATATTCTTCTCATAAACTACCTTCCGAAGAATAAATAATTGAAACCGGTAAAAAAAAATGAGTGAATAGTATATTAACGGACGACATAAAGTCTATACAGCAATACGAGGCTGGCTGGCGTGCCGTGCTAACGAGGTACGGTCTGTTAAACCAAGTCACTCGAAGTGCGCACGAGCTGGCTACAGATGATACACGAGAGGATTAATCGCAGCTAACGGTCTGCCTTGAAAGGCCACCACAAAGCTGAAATTTGGCGGTAAACAGTCCACCCAGGTAGCGTCTCTCTCTGTCATCAATGTCAGTCGATTACCGATGTTCGCCCTCAGGCGCTTCTCATATTTCAGAATAAGTTTTGATTTGAACGCAATCTGACATTATGGAGCTGATTATCTAATCTTTGCGATACAACCATGGGATAACAGCCATACTTTTAAATTGCCAACCTTTTTACGGAAAAACATCGACGCCTGTTTGTCGCCACCCCCTGGATCGTCTGTAGTTCATCTTTCGATAAGTATCGCACTCGAATAAGGTTCACTATTGGTCACAACTAGGCCATATGAATTAAATATTCTTTGAAGCACTCTTTACAAATAAACGTTTTATCCCTGTTTTTAACCAACGTTTAAACAACGTCAGTTGTTATTGATTTCATTTTAACTTCAATCCCGAAATGGCAGAAGATGCTGAAGAAGAACACGAAAACCTCGGGCGAGCCACACTACACGTACACACACACACAAATCGTTTTCCCCGCTTCAACGTCGCCATGACAATCAATATCGAATGAACGTGTGTCGCCTAGTAAATCGTAGAAATCACAGAAGTGCAACTACCAAAGCATTGACCTGTGGCTACAGGGAGCAATCGGGCACGTGGAAACAAAATGTGTTCACGAATTCACGTGGTTTAGTTAAGCATGAAGCACGATCTTCTCGTAACGCTTCAATATAGAAAAAACCCCACACTTTGTCATCAGTTGCATTCTAGCTTTCTGAGACTCGTAATATTACATGTTTCCTGACCCCTTGTCACTGCCGCCGAACCGTCACGCCATGAGAAAGCTAGTAATCATGTAATCGATTATATTACTACCTTGCCCATATGGATAGCGCGGTTATAAAAGATGCATTCGAATCGACAAGAGATGAACAAAAATTATACGGAAAAAAACTGTATTCTAGTGACTGAAATGCTTTATTGAGACTGTTTTATTTTTTTAAATATGAGTCATGAAGCTTATAAAATAAAACACGAGGTTGCTCATTTCCAGTTGATGGGGCGTCTAATAACCACTGCATATTAAGGAGCTGGCATTGACATAAAAATTAAATCAATTACCCTCCATCTATGAAGGGATGGGCTTTAAAATTGATGTAATTGGTGGGATGACAAATCCAATCTATCATCATATCGTGATCCATTTGTTATCAGAAGGTCTGGTGGAGCCCCAAAGTTTGGATTCTTCAGTACTCATTTCAAGGTCGTCCTATATAGTGATGTGATAAACGTTGATCGTTTAGCACAAGCGCTGGATTGGAGTGGTTATCTTCCCGCCACAGACCACACTGCCTGACAACCAATCAACTGACTAAAAA